GAATGGACATCGCCGCTTTTCGATATTAATCCCAAGGTATAGTGCTTACTTGTTTCCGGTCCGGAATATTGAATTGTTCCATTCCGGTTATTGTTGTAGGAGGTTTGAGGTTATGCTCCTGTGGCTTAATTTTTGACACTTACAATTAAGTTGTAAGTTATTTTTTGAGGCCGAGTAAATGATGCCCGTGATGTAAAGAACTTGGCTCACTGTCAGCTTTGTTGAAAAGGTGTTGAATGGGTAGACTCCTCCAATCCATGCAGTATATGTTAAATACTGTTGTAGGTCCCTATGCAAATGGGTGAACCTGCCAGTGTTTTATCACATATCATATATTTTACTCAATTTTATTCTCGTGGAACATAAAACTTTATTACTTTCTGATTGGGGTGCAAACCGAGTGGTACTATTTGCGTAATCCCTCAAACAATCAATCAATGTGCGTTGCAGATAATTTGCAGCTGCCCCTTCGTACTTAATGTTTAATCCAGTGCCAAAATTAGTTATTTGAAAGACCATAGTCATTTAGAGACGCATGGGGGGAGAGGCATTTAAAAGGGGATTGTATGAGTAAATTATATGTAATTAATAGTAGATGTGCGCTAAAAGTACCGTTTAATATGATTGCAGGAACTCGGCCCAGAAATGTTCTTGACATATAACCAAGAGAAGTCTATGGAGTCATTTTACACAAAAGAATAGGTGAGTTGACATGACAGTAACGGCCAACGCTGGTCCAATTTGTCTCTGTACAGACACTATGAGGAGCTTCCTTTCATGTGCATCAAAGGGTGATTCTTGATTTCTTTGATGGTGCCTTAGTTCTTTGTTGTCGATTTCAATCCTCCACTGATAATGTCTTTTAAAAATCTTGGCAATTTGGAAAATTGCTGGAATTGGTTTGGATTGGTGGGGCAGACTCCCTTTTCACATGCTCTGTCTAAATATCATGGTGCCGACCCACTACAGCAGAGTTCTTAGCCAGTGCGCCTTAGGTAGCCTACCCGCCCTTAGTTAGAGAGACCAGCTCTTATAAGACTCAAGTCTTTGTGGACAGGGGTGGTTTCTGACAGAAACGAAGGTAGTTTTGTGGTGCCTGGTTCATTCCTGTCGATTCGAATACTCCTCCATCGAAATCCGAACCCATCAATTTATAGCCTTTGTAAATTTGGCCAAAAAAGAAAAATTTGAAAATCGCTGGAAATAGTTGGGATTGGTCAGACTGAATCCTTTTTCAATCTCTGCGTCGAAGTTTTACGCCGCCGGGCCATCTTAAGTGAGATACGCCTGTCTTTGGACCGGTTCGCCTGCGAGGTAGGCAGCCCATCGTACGCTGACCGCCAGATTCAAAAGACCACCCTTAAAACTCAAGTTTCTCTGGAAAGGGGTGGTTTCTTGCTGAACCAAATGTAGTTTTGTGGTCCCCTGGGCCACCTCTGTCGATTTGACTACTTTTCCGTCGAAATCCGGACCCATCAATTTTCGCTAAAAACACAAAGGCTATAGCCTTTGTAAATTTGGCCAAAAATGAAAAA